CCGCCTCCCTCGCCGTCGAGGCCCGCTCGCCGCTTCCCGGCAGAATTGAGATATTACACTACTTTTTTTTTTTTCTTTGTCCTGAAAATGTCTTGCGATACTTTTTTGCTGGTAACAGTAATTCATGTAAGAGATACTTCAGCCAGTAAAGAAGTCTCCTTCTAAACCTGGGTGTGCTGTAGTAGTCTTTAACAGTGCTCTGACACAGTTCAATGTTTGTTTCCAATCCAGGCTCCTAGTATTTTAATACATTACTTAACATCTATTTCGTACTAAGAATTCAGCCCATCAGAGCTCCGTTGTAACGGCTGCCCCCCCACAATGAGAACACCACCAAGCCTCTTTCCTTTCATTCCTGGGCTAAACAAGGGATCAATTTTTTGGAATGAATTTTACCAAACACCTGTGTCTGGTACTTCATTACTATGTATTTTTGGTATGTGGCATTAGCGTGGTCTGATCTGCCAGAGACCTGTTCCACTCCCGAGGCCAGCCAAGGCAACGGCAGCCATTCCCTGCTCTGTTTGTTCCCGTTACATAGTAACAGAAGTGATGCCCATCCAGCTTGGCGCAGCTTGCCAAAGTGACTCTGTTTTCTTGTAATTATCTAGGAGCAAAAGATTAAAGATTATGAGATGCATCTTGCCTGAGATTGAAGTAATATTACTGTAAACTAGTTCTGTGTTACTCTTCCAGCCAGTCTACCATTCTATAGAATTAAAGTAGTATCAAATACACGTGAACTCTTAAAATGGTCTTGTTTGCTCTTTGAGTGACAGCAAGGATCTGTGGGAATGGTGGGAATAGACCTTGCAAATGCCACAAGAGCATGAACACACCTATTTGCGATGAGATGGCTTGGACTTTGATGTGACTCCCAGCAAAACTTCTAACATCACTGAGTTTTGTCTTGAACAGGTGCTTTGCAGGAGAGCTGTGCTTGCTGAAAACTAATCTTACTGTATAGAGCATGAGAGCGCTTTTTTTTTTAATGACACTTTTCCCCAGTGGAATTTGAAAAGCACTGTGCACACCTGAAGGTGAGGGTCTAAATGATCTCACTGTACATAGAAAAGTTCAACAGTGCCATGGCTTGCTTGGCACTTCCTTGTTTCTTGAAGTAATACACAGTAATGGTATATATAAAAACCACAAATTACTAGTTTCTGGATGAAAACCAAAACCACCCAACTTGCTCCGTGACAGAATACGTACATTATGGACTCCTAAGCAGTTCCTCTTACTTGCATCTGACTTTTCCTTTACAGGGACTCCAGAAAAGGTCCTCACTAGAGTTTTTGCAGGGAACAGAAGCAAATTAAGATTACTTTTAACAAGGGCAAGTATCAGAGACCTGCATTTTTATTAGGTGGATACAATCTAGCAACCGAGTAATCATTCTTCTTTGCAAAAACTTCCTCTATAGTTAGTTCCTCACTTAGCATCTTTCCAGTGGGAACATAAATACTGAAAGGAATCACTGAAAAGGAATGGAAGAGAGTGAATCACCAAGGGCAAGTGGTAAATTTTCAGGTGTCTTGTGCTTTGGTTTGCAGGAATTGAGTATCTGAGGAAGTAACTGAGTCACTGAGGAAGTAATCTGTTCTCAGAGGAAGACCAAATGAAAAGACTGAGAGAAGGAGCGCTGTATTTCAATGAAGTAGTCATATCACCTTTTTTGACACGACTGCCCGTCATCACCATGCAAGGGCATGAGTGAGGCAGAAATCCTTTGGGCTTTCTAATGTCTCTTGGGGGTGTCAGCATTCCTTCTCTGGCTAGAGAGCTGAACAATGAAATTTCAACCCGATCACAGAAATGTCTGCTAGAGCATTCTGGGATTCTGCAACATGATTTTTGGAGCTGGGTAATTGTTTATAAACTAGACAGCAAGAGAAATAATGTCCTTTTCAGAGCGATACCTGCCCTGATGCAGAGAACTGATGTATTTCTGGAGCCTTGCATCCACCTCCTGACCGTGAGCTTGAAGATTCAGTATCCACATGGACACAATATGCCTTCAGAAACCTCACAGATACTGTACAATAATATATACCTTTCTCTGAGGCAAATAATTATTTGATGTGCCCATGAGTTATGATACAGCCTTGTTATGAAAAAGAAAGAGCCCAGATAATTGTTTTACAAGAGATCAGAAGTTCAGAAGCATTAAAGCTTTTGAGGAATATTCCTCTAGAATTTTTGAAGTTACCAATTGTACTAATAAACAGAATCTATAAACTGGGTATGGCTGAAAAAACTGATTATGTTCACAGCAGCATAATTCTAATTCACAGCACAAGCAGTAAGGAAGAATAAAGGAAGTTTCACACTGCCATTAATGAATTGTCTGTGTAAAGAAAAAGAAGAAAAATTGACATTTATTTGTTTTATTTTTAATCAATGTGTATAGTGCACCTATCACCAAGTATTTTTAGGTACACAAACAATAGAAATTTAAAAATACAGAAAATAATGACTCCAAATGGACAAGCTTAACAAATAATAATGAAGAAATTCTTTGTGGTTCAGGTGTGTCAAACAAATTTTAAAAGTATAAATACAATTAAAATTAACAGCACTAAAGCTACTTAGTAAGTGTTAAGCTAAAGCTAGACAATCATTTCCCAGAGTATCAGCACACTTATTCAATTCAGCCTAATTAGCACCTTGGTACCAGTTGCTGAATGGCTCCCAATTATTATTATTATTGCTATATACCAACACCAGGTGTCAAAGATTTTTTTTTTTTTAAGTAATATGCAAAAGGCTTTTTTTCCGCCCAGCAGTTCTTTAGATGAAACATACAATAAACAGAAAGAAGAAAAAGTACTTGTTATTCAAGTTTCTAAAGGTTCATTACTATGTTATCTATACTGTAAGAAATTCTTCAGTATTGTTGGCAACTGGAGTTGTGGGACAAGATGCAGTCTAGCTCTTCCTATGTAATTTCGGATACATAGTCGGCAGAGCTGACAAAGAGAAGATGGTGTGGCTGCAAAGAAAAAAAGAAAGGAGTTTAATTGTACAACTATAAAAGCCAGTACTTTGATTTACAACAGTCTTGCACAATAATGACATTTCAAAAAAAAAAAGTTCACACTTTGCAAGTTTGTCCTTTTCCTTCCTTTTCATTCATAGCCCTTTTGTCCTCAAAGATAAAGACTGGGACTGCTGAAACCTTCTTAATAATCAGGGATATACTCAAAAAAGCAAGCTCAGGTCAGCAACTAATTTCTGTTTTTACATTAAAAACCTGCTCCCAGAAAATATATGATGTCAACAACTTTAAAAACGATGGTTTTGGTTTGTTGTTTTTTTTTAATTCATAGAACAGGTGAAATACATGCTACAGCACTACAAGCTACCCTACGAATACATCACTGCAACAAGAATAATCAGGCCAAATACCCTGAGATCCTGGACCATGTCTTACTAGCTCACGATAATGCCTTTGTCCCTCTATGCCCCCCTTGGGATGAACACATTGCTGTGTCTCTCTGGCCAATAAAACCATCCATGTTTCATGACAATTCTTTTCTTTTCTTTTTTTTCTTTTCTTTTTTTTTTTTGACATCTTTGCTGTGGCTTTTAAAATCCTACTAGCCTTGGTAATTTTGTGATAACCAACTGGTTTTAGAGGTTTTTTTTTAACAGCATTCAGACTACAGAGATGTTTTCTGGAAGAAAACATTTAATCAATGCTACTTGTCAGTTCAACTTTAAAGAGGTTATTGTTTTTCTGCTTATTTCCCACCTCTGTCTTGTGGCTTACTTACACTGTTCAGGTCAGTCTGAACAAATCCAGTTCCCTTTGGGATATAATCTCTCTCTCAGGCAACAGACCTTTAAGAGTTTTAAGGGACTTTTAAGTGTCGACTCTTATTTCTCAGGCACTTATAATTCAGTAAAGTAAACATAGAAAATGAAACTTACTATACTTTTTGCCTACAATAAAAATAAAATGCTTTATATACACTTAAAAATATATTTTTAAAAATATTGGGACAGCTGGCCAAAATGAAATATATTTTTAATCTGATTTCTTTTTAACAAGGTCTGTAACAGCCAATACAAATGTAGCTTTAATGCGTAATTGTGTAAACACCCAATAAGCATAAGATGATACATTTTCAGCTTGTATAAATTCTGATGCTGCTTGGTCAACAGGCTCTGGCCTGAGATTAAATATTATTGGGTATTTTTATAGGTAGAAAGGAATTTAACTGAATGTTAACATATTCATTTCATAAAGCACAATGTTAGCTTCTATAACATGGGTTGTTTGGGCTGTTGGGTTTTTTTGGGGGGTGGGGTTTTTTTTGTTGGGTTTTTGTTTTTGTTTGTGGGTTGTTTTTTTTTAAGAATACAAGTTATAGTTGCAAAAACATGCATGTAAAACTTACCTTCATGGAGGAGCAGCACTCTCTCCACTAAACTGCTTGGAGCAGCTAAGTCAACAGGCCTCTCAAAATCTGTATTTTTGGCATTTATGTCTGCTCCAAATTCAAGGAGTAAGTTTACGATCTCTGTACTAGAATGCTGGGCAGCAGCATGGAGTGGAGTTTCCAAGTGCTTTCCCTTCTGCACATTGGCACCTGGTGGGTAGATGCACATAAAGAGGCATACGAAGAAATTAATTAAAATTGTTATTGAGTAAAAATGATGTTGCAAAACAAAAAACCCCACTGTCCTAGAATGCCACAGTGAATTTAGCTACTTTATTAATTTTATTGTATAGCACTATAGCTAATCATACCAGTGGGGTTTTTTGAACACAGACACTTATCCTAGATTTTATTACCCAAGCACAACTAGATTTTAAAGGAGGAAAAGAGAAATCAAAAGGTGAGCATCATTGTTGCCTTAATTATAAAAAAGTACATTTTAAGAAAATTTGCACTACATAAAAATATAGTTTCCTTATTTAAGTCTTTAAAAAGAATCACTAAACTGAAGTTTAGTATTTACATTTTGGTAACTAATTATTACACCTTTGTATTAATAAGGAATTGCTAATGTATTTGGAATTAAAATGGACTAAATTAGTTTGCAATAATGCGTTTGTATTCAAGAAAAAAATTATTCATACAAGAGTTAAACAAAACAAGCTAGTATGGAAGAATTTACTTTATAGGCAAACTGTTAGTCCCCCTAAAACTGGGTTTGCCCCAACAGTTTTCTAGACTATTCTAAACAGAAGAAAAACACAGCCTTCTTAAGAGAGTTTTACTCATCTTGTGAAACCAAAAATTGGCTTCTGTACCAACTTTTCTCCCTGATTTAACACTTTTTGCCTTGTTAATTCCCATTTGAGTAAAATAATTTAATAATACCACAGACCTAGCAATTAGATTTGAAGTCCGAGTACCTCACTGTTCTCAGTATTAACAATTTGAGAATACTTCCACAGTACCATTCTCTTGCCTATTTCATTGTTTATTTGCTTTACAACTTCTAATACATTTTAATAAGCTGATAAAATATGAACAAAATCAGATTGACATAAGTTGTTACTTATATTCTCTATTTACATGCCCTTTTCTACTTCAGGGCACCAACGAATGTAGAATATGCCCTTCTGTTACTGCTTTTAACGAATGGTAGAATTTGAATCCCAAAATATGCTAATTATACTTCTGCGGTTCTTAAACATAAAAATCATGACATAGGATAGTTAATCATACAAGGAGACCGACTCAATGAGAAACTATTTAACTGCTTGCTTAAGTTCTAAATGAAGTGCAATTAACTAGAAAAACAATTCTGGTGAAATGATGGCAAGTCTGTAATTGTTCATGTATACATTTTCATTCATTGTGCTGCAGAACACCAAAGCCCTGTGTGTCACTACCTGAAACACAGCAAATGATCCTTTAGCTATGCTGATGGTGTCCCTGGACTTGTGCTGAAACAGAGTCTGCTTCCAACATCTCTTTCCCATTGATAAAATAAATAATGTGAAATTTAGGATCAAATGCCTTTTACCTTACCTCTTCTCCCTGCAACTCAGCCTCTATGTCTTGTAAAAAGATCAATCAGAACATGCTGAAGAATGAAAAAGAGTGGGACTACACTGCTAAAAAAGTTTCTCTGAAAGCTCAATGATTGCTATATAAAATTGCTTTCTCAGTGCTGATATTTTACCTTTGTTTTTCCTACAGAAAATGAACATCTACAAAGCTGTAGTAGGTGCTAAAAACTTTGAACATCCATTCTTATTGGTCTTCCTTCCTTTTTCCCTCATATGCTTGCTATGCCACAAAAAAATGAAAGACATGGTAAGTTATTGTAAGAAAACATGCATCACATAATAAACTTAGAAGTAGAGCCCTGCAGGCAAGGCTGCTCATTTCACTCACTGAGCACAGCTCACTTCAAAGGTGAGTACGGTATGCTTATTTTACAAACTAGTAATATTTTTACTTAAGTCATGACATACCTGCATAAAGAAGCTTTCGAATACAATGGATCTGCTGTGAAACACATGCTACATACAGAGGTGTTCCTAAATGAGGAAGATCTTGGTCAACATCTATACCCCAGGATATCAGCACCTCCAGACATTCGCTGTGACCTGTCCATACAAAGCATGACAGAATTTGCTCGACTTCAGTAAGCTGTCTCATAGACAAAACCGGACACATTTCTTAACACTATTACTGAGAT